AGCTACTGACCGGACGTAGGCGTTGTAGAGGTTGCGCATGATCCGACGACTGCATCCCCACTTCGTTCCTCGCAAAGCAGATAAGAAGTTGAGCCGAGACGGTGAGCTCTGGCCTCCATCGAGATTGAGTGGCCTCCGTCGTAAAGAACGTCGTGACGGTTTTCTCGACGTTGATTTGCATTTTCCAGCATTCGGCCCATGTCGCTAGCTGGTCTAGTGCTGTCTGCATACGCGCCTTGATGTCCGCCAGGTCAACTCCTTGGGCCGATAAGGCGAGGTCGTCCGCATAGAGGCTGGTTTTGACTCCTTCGGGCATGTCGTCGAGGATGCCGTTGACGAATATCAGGAACAGTATCGGCGACAGGACGCTGCCTTGTGGAGTTCCGGCTTTCGCGGGAAGGAGCGGCTATTCGTGTCGTCGAACCGGACTCGTGTTCGGCGGTCGCTCAGGAAGCCGTAGACCCATTGGACGATGCACGTCGGCATGCCCATCGGGATCATCTTACTGTACAGCCCCGCTCTCCAGACTCGGTCGAACGCGCGCGACATGTCAACCAGCGTTAGAAGTGTGCGCCTCGCCGGCTTTTGGTTGAAGCCGTCTTTGATTGGTTTAAGCCGTATTTGACCTGTCATTTCGCGTCGAATGCCCTCACCGAATTGGAAATCAACAAGCGCGGTCTGAACTACAGCCACGTAGAGGTTCTGGCCAATCTTCGGAGGACATTTGGTTGGGCACAAGCATTTTCCTTTTGGCTTTCAGTTGGCTCGGTGGCAGCAGCGTTAGCAATTATTACTATCCTATTAACGAGTAGTGAGACGCAATGTACTACTCGTAGATGATCAAGCAAAGTACGTCAATTCTCGTTTTCTTCAAACTTTATTGTGCCGACCATCTCGTCCAGCCGGGTGGACTTGCCCATTTTCAGAGGACACCGAGGTCGTGACATCGTACATCAGAACAATTAACTTCGTGGTGCTGCCGATTCTACACCGGCACTTAAACATGCCTAAATACTTCTTCTCTGCCGAACTTTAACCCAACGGAAATAAAGTAGGAGCGAAACTTTTTACGATTGGATTCAGAGCTTAAATCGAGTGGAATGGTCTGATGTGCGGCTCAGACAGTCGTGCCGCGAGCAGCGCGGCAGCCATGCTAGTTGTATCTGTATCTGTGTCAGTGTAGTGTCAGTTTACTCAAGAGGCTGTGTACAAAGACCGGTCTCTCTCACTCGTGATAGCAACTATTTAAGGAACTCTCGTTGCAGCCATGCAGAGGGCGATCTCGGCACAACGTTGACCCACGTAGAGTACGCATATTTAAGGTGTTTTGAATGAGAGACGGACGTAATAATACGTTACTTGCAGGGCTGCCGCGCTGCAAGCGTCACGACTGGCTAAGACACATATACTTTCTATTCCACTACCGTCAGAGTTAAGCTCTGGATGCACTCGTTTTAAGATCTGCACAGACCTGCGGAAAGCACTGAGTTGTCCTGCTTGAAGGTTCGAGGAGTGCTGCTGGAAGCTCTGCATTGTCCTGCTCGAAGCTGAGTAGTGTTTGCTGGAAGCTCTAGGAAGTTATTGTCGAAGCTATGGTGAACCTCATGGCAGCCCTGCTGGAAGATCTGAGTAGGTAGTCCTGCTTGAAGCTCAGTGTAGTGATGCTGGAAGCACTGAATATTCGTGCGGGAAGCTTTGAGTAGCTGTCGTAGCCCTGCGTGGAAGCTTAAAGTAGTCTTGTTGGCAGCACTGAACAGTCATGTTGGCCGAACAGAACAGGCCTGCTGGAAGCTTGGGTTTGATCCACACATGCGGACTGATGTCTGAGAAGTCGTGTTTCAAGCGCAGAATTCTAGACTCAGTCGTCTTGCTCCGACCTTCGGACTAATGTCTAAATCGTTGATTCAATCTCTGAGTTGAGGTTTTAGTCGTCTTCTTGCTTTTAGCTCCGATTTGAAAACGGAGGCGTTGTGATTCAAGCTTTGAGTCGGTTTTAGTCGTCTTGCTTAAAGCTCAGAGTTGGGGTTGCTTGCGTTAATAGTGTTTAATGCTTGTGCGTGCAGATCATGCTCTGCAATGAGGCTTGTGGCTTGAATGTTTGTTTGTTGGATTTTTGCATGAAGAAACACCCTATGGTCCGGAAATCATTAATACAAAGAGTTCTAGGGAGTGCTGCCTGAGGCTCTGCGTAGTCCTGCAGGAAGATCTGAGAATTCATGACTGAAGGTTTACATAGTCTTGCTGGAAGCTATGAGAAGTCCTGCTGATGCTCTGAACAAAACTGCTTCATTCTAACTGTTAGACTTTAGAGACTAAGAAGTCCAAGCTGTCTGCTATTGTCCAATAGATCCCAACACTTATTTACTGACACTGTTGTTCAGATTGCATAATGTCAGTGTTACCGAAAACCCGTCCAAATTTGTTCTCTACTTTACCGGCACTAGTATGGTCAGTGATAGTTCAGTGCTACGGCTACGGCGTGCTACGGCCAAGACTATTCCTCCAGCAACAACTTTACTCGGCTTCCTGTATGCGAGTACCAGCAGAGGTTTAGAATCATCCTGTTCTATTCTAGCTTTGTGGTGGGCTTACTCCAGCAGATGCACTGGCTTTGGGGACGTCCAGAAAATCCGTCCCGGTGATTTTCCTTTTTAACCCTCCCCTCCCCTGTTACCGTGACGCCTAAGATAACAGAAGTCTACCTAGTATAAATTTTACTTGGGCCCTTGGTTTTTACCTCGCCTTTAGCCCCTATAGAATTTAGAGGAGATAAAAAGACCCTGCGGAGGCAACCGACAAAATTTTAGTCGAAAATTTGACAAATATAGATAAAATTCGGCGGCCGGGGCCATTTTATCTAGTGCTTGGCGTGACGTCACGCCCTCGCAGACCTCCCCCCTCCCCCGTCACATCGGGTCCGAGAACCTTCCTCCCTCCCTGTCACCATGACGCATTTTCTAGACGCTCCTCTTGCTTACTCCCACCTGTGTCTTAAGTGTTTCCGTTCCGTACCGTATTTCCTGAAATATCCTCCCCCCCAAATTACCCCCCCCCCCCACCTAAAAATAAACCCGGGGTGCCGGACCCATTCGTAAATACCCCGCCCCCAAAAAAAAATAATCCCCTGTGGGGGCCTACTTTTTACGCAAAAACAAATCGTTCCACTGGTTAGAAGGGCTACTTTTTCACCCTTTTATATGTCAGTAAGCCCTTTTTAAGGGGTTTTACGTTATCCCGTCGGATTTAGGTCGATCCGTTGCTTTCCGAGTAGATGGTTCCGGGTGTTTGACCGGGTAGAACCCGGCACGAAATTCAGTGACCCGACGCCGTAGCGTCCCTAGTGGCTGAGCCCAATGCATGGATGGATTGCATTCTGTTAGGGTGGATCGGCGCGTCTCGGTCCTGCGGTCCGTGACGGCGCAATGATCCGCTGTTTGGCTGTGCATGCACAAAAGGTGCTTTGAATTGGCGCTGGATTCACAGCTCCTATTGTGTTTTGGAATGTTCCTAAAAGTTCCTTGAAAACAAGTGCAGTCAGTCGGCTCTAGAGTTCTGAGTGAACGCTGCTTGCCTAATATCGTGTCTTCTTGCAGCTAGTCTACGTATTCTTGGCCTATTCCACTGCTGTAAGTTTCCTGTATTCGTTCTTTGCACTTAGCTTTCCATTTGTCCCAATAAACGTTGCACGTGTTTAGCTGTGTTAGACGCCTTATAAGTGCTCTCGGGAAACCTAGGTCCGCGAAAAAGGGCTTGTAAAACGCCTACATTGGGTCCCAGCCGGTTTAAACCGAACAGGATTTCAGAAACCGGACCCACTCGATACTGAGCTTGCACAGCTATTTTCGCACGTACTCTAGGCCACATTGCTGGATGTAAATTTGATTCCGGAAACTGATCCGTGGTAAATTTCGGTTCTAAAATTGCAGGAATTCCATAGTTGCTAGCATAAATTGTGGCTTTAGCTGGGTGGAAGTTTTAAGCAACCAACGATGAAGGAGAAGCCCAAGCAAGCTATTGACGGAGGAAAAGTCGACGACGGTAAGAAGGCCAGTCGTCATGCAAATGTGTCAAGTACACTTTCAGGTAAAGGAGCAGCTGGACGGTGGTCGACCGGAAGCAGAAGCCATGGACACCGGTGCCGCCGCGACTCCACAACAAGTGCGTCAACTAGCAGAAAAGTTGCAAGTAGCCTGCGCAAAGTTCGCAGGGATCAAGTGAACGTTATTAGTCGAGACAGCCTGCGCAGAGTACTTCGTAATGGAAATGTGCTACGCGAGAAATTCTCGCCTGGTTTCGTTTGGCATCCTCCAGAAGTGAATATGTCAAATGCGTCTGGCGCGCCATGAAGTTCTATGGCCTTGGGCATTGCATGATTTAGACGGAAGCTAGTGATACCGCTGAAGAACATAAGTCCTGATTCAGGAGAAAGCTAATTACGATGTTTTTCTTGGCACGCCAGTTCTTGTTGCGAGCCGCAGTGGCGCGAGCGCGTTAGCAAACTTTTTACGGAATTCGGTGGCAAAGTTAGCCGGCATGACGCTCAGGATGGCTTGAGTTCGAGCGTGTTCTCAATGAGAGTTGGAGCCGGCAAGGCCTCTGCTGAGGTAGTGAACGGTGGGTTCCACCTGAAGCGTGATAGCCCTAGGGCAAGAAATCCGAGGCCGATCGCAGCTAGGTATGGTAACCGGTCGCAGAAGACCGTGTGTTTTTCCACATAGTGTGTTTAGGGCACATAGGTGCAGTTTCTGGTTGTTTGTTTCTTGTGTGGGATACAAAGTGTTTGCTAATGTTATAAGCCAGCCAGAGCCGGACCTAGTAATAGCAGAACACTTGGCCTTCCTACGTAACAGCTATGCGCGACTTTCTTTATTACTTAAACACGATTTCTATATGCAAGTGGAGCGGCGAGCGTTTGCAACCGGCGTTGGCCGCTTGCTTTCGCAGCAACGCAGCCGAGAAACGAGTGCAAAAACAGACGTGCATAGCAGCCTGAATTTGTCTCCGACATTTGTACCAAGCAGTAGTTTAGTCACAGTTAGTCATTACTATGTGATCCGTGTTAGTAATTTGTCGTCGGACTTTCTGTGCTTGTTAGTTACAAGAAACTTGAGGGAGGAGCGTCAAGAAGAATTTCCTCCGCGGACTTGGTCCCTGCTACCGTGAGTGTCCGCAAGGACTTGCAGACTGACAACACTGCCAATGTCCGGGGAGTACGTGCTTGACTGCAATCGAGCCGACTTCGTCGTGTTTAAAAAGGTAAGCAGTCTAGCAGTAGTGCGGAATATAAAGTCTGCCTGTGTGGCTGACACGACTTTGCTGATTTAGCTTCGCTCGTCGTTGGGAGGCCGTCAAGGACCGACGTCAAGTTCGCCGTCATCATGAAGTTGTAATGAGTCAAGTCGGCGGGCATGGTCGTGACTGGTATTGTTTTAGAGTCGATGAGACCTATTCACCAGCTTCGCAAAGTCGAGAAGACCGGCCAGGAACCGATCTAAGTTCGTCGACGTCGAGAATTCGTTCGTAAGGCGTCAAGCCTGTGGGCATGTAAC